GGAGGCAAATCCACACAAAACCGGAGAGAAGATATGCACAGCGGAAGCTCGAAATACACAGAGAATTGAAAAACGAATTTCAATTCTGTAATCCCTCGTCCTCCTCCAATCAATACAAAGTACTTGTTCCAAGAATCACAACCGCGTTTACAACAACCCCGAACAACCTAAAACAAGTATTCAATGAAGTCTACAGGAGTCTTCTTCTTCCTCCTCGCCACCTCATACCCCTGGCTATGGCTGCCGTAGCAGCAGTAACCCCACAGCTGTCACAACCGGCCAGTCTAAACCAGCAACCCCAATAATAGCAGCGCCAGCTCAGCGCCTGCACGGCAGTGCAGCGCTGGAGGTCCTGATGAAGAAGGAGACAACCGATCCAGTCGTTCGAAGAAGACAAAAACGAAGTTCCTCATGAGGAGGAACAGCAGATGTGGCTGCCAAGTGGAGAATGGCAGCGCCCAAACCCAACAACACAGCCCTGTGGAAGCTCTCGTGCAGAGCTGCTGAATAACAGCAGTGCGATCTCCAACTTCGTGTCCCAGCCCCAGCTATGGCTGTGCTTCGAGGAAGAAGATGCCCTCACCCAAAATAACGCAGCAGCGCTCCGACAACGAACGGGCAAAGTTTCCCCAGCAAAAACCACGAAAAAAGACCCGAACTAATTTTCCTTCTCGCTACTTCTACCCTCTGCCTAGACCTACGCCACTTCAAAGGCAACAACCCAAGACTCATCTGTATCTAGATGGAAATAGGGGAAAAGGGGGCCTAGACCTATGACAAGGCAAAAGGAAAAGGCCGAATGGCCTAGGACTACCAAACAGAGACTATTAGTAACAGACTCAGGGATCAAGCCCCATAGGGCTCAACACTCACAAACAAAACACCCAGGTTACAGGTCACAGGATCAAGCCCCCCAAGGCTCAAAACAAACAAAGAGCAAGCAAACAGGCAACATAGCAGACGAAGGTTGTGGTATCAAGTCCCGACAACGACAGGGACAAAATTAATATACAGCCCGCTTGTAGCACTGCAATTCATTGCATTCCTACCCTCCCGAGGTGCGAGGACCCCGAGCTAGGAGTGTCCACGAGGAGATCGCCTGGGCAATTTCCCGCTTTGTTCAGCCTCGTAAAACCACACGACTGAATTTGCAGACTTGAGAAGTTCCTTTCTTGTAAACCAACGGTCCTCAGTATGAGGTTGGAAGAGGAACTTGACAAGATATTCACAGTCGGGGCCAGTGCCCCATTGATCCTCAATGCTCTCGACTTCATATCCCTTTCCAGGGATAGGAGGTCCAAACTGCGGTGGCCAATAAGGAAACGCGTCGACAGGAGTGAAAGGCAACAGTTTTGAGGCATGGAAGATAGGATAGGTCCTGATATATGGGGGTACAACAAGTACATAGGAAGGCCCAAATGGGTGTGCTCCCACAATATTTAGTACCTGCCATGGGCCATAGTACACAGACAACAACTTTCACGATATGTCCTGTTCATCAACACTGACTCACCGGGACCATCTGGAATAGGCAATGGTTTGAGTAGCCCCATAGGAGGTCGTCTGTGAACCTTGTTCCTTTGGCATAACTCGCAAGTCTCTAAGTACTTGAGACCAATAAAAGCGTTGGGTCAGGGCAGAATAAGTCTTTAGGAACCCAAAATGACCTCGAGCATCACACCTGTCTGAAATCAGATGAGTTATGATCTTGTGATCATTAGGAATGCACAAGCGTTCTTCTCCTTCACTGATGGTGTATAGGAGATCTGAAGTCAAGGCATAGCCTGACTCAGAATTGGGATCCAGTTGCAAATTCCTAATAATAGGGCCAAAGACAGGGTCCTGAGGCAACGCATCAGCAATACCCTGGCGTGTGGAGTCTCCAAATGCTGAAGTATGAGCAATAGCAACAAAGGTATCGGGCCTACGAGAAAGAGCATCAACTACTCTGTTATAGAATCCCTTTTTGTGTTTCAATTCAAAGTCAAAGGAATCAATAAACTGAATATACCTCGCCAACTTGTCATTCAACTCCCTCTGGTCTTCATCCACTGCAAGGTCGAATGGTCAAAGTAGATCTTGAAGTGTCTTTCCAGTAAAAAGTGCTTCCATTGGGCACACACAAGGGCAAACAATTCTTTCTCACAAGTAGATGCCTGGACTTTCTGTGCCTTGATTTTCTTACTCATGAACTTCACAGGCTTAAGGCCAGACCCATCATATTGCTGGAGGACGACCCCTACACCATACTGACTTGCATCTGTGGTCAACACAAATGGCAAGGTAGGGTCAGGAAGCCTCAACACAAGTGCTTGGGTCAAGGCCTTCTTCAATATGGAGAAAGCCAATTGGCCATGTGGGTGTCCATCTAAAAGGAACATCTTTTGCCAACAGGTTAGTCAGGGGAATGGCCACAGTAGAAAAGTTTCTGATAAAATTTATACAGTAAGATGCTAGATCCATGAAATACCTAATGTCCCCAACGGTCGGTGGTTGTGGCCAATCCCTAACAACAATCACTTTGGAGGCTTTTGGGAAAAGACCATCTGCAAAAATCACATATCCCAAATATAAACAGAAGAGGCACCGAAAGATGATTTTCTGTATTTATTTTGTATTTGTTTTCCCTCAAAATCTGCAGAATCTTTCTGAGATGATCAGCGTGGTCAACATCATTCTTGCCGAACACTAAAATATCATCCAGATAGACCACCACAAAACAATCAAGAAATGGTTTAAAAATTCTGTTCATTTCTGTTTGGAAGGTTCCTGGTGCATTGCACAACCCAAAGGGCATGACCAAGAACTCATAGGTGCCATACCGGGTTTTGAAGGTTGTTTTAGCAACATCCTCCTTAACCATTTCGATTTGATGATACCCGGATTTCAGATCGATTTTGCTGAAGACTTTGCAGCCTTGCACCATATCCAATAGGTCATCGATCCTAGGCAAGGGCTCTGAGCTCTTCCTAGTGATCTTGTTCAGGCCCCTATAGTCAATACATATCCTGAGTTCACCATTTCCTTTTGGAACAAAGAGAACTGGTGCCCCATACTCAGATATGTTGGGCCTAATCCAACCCTTCCCAGTTAGTGTCTCTAATTGCTTTCTCAACTCATCCAACTCAGCAGGAGACATCCTATAAACTTTGCCCTTGGGAGTGGTTGAGTCAGGTAGGACCTCTATGCGATGTTTGGTCTGCCTATGGACAAGTCCAGTAGGCTCCTGATCTAGGTCTGCATAATCATCAACCACTCTCTTGATGATGGGATCACACTGAGGGGTGGATGAATCAGTTTGTGCCGCATAGGCAACAAAGAGATTATGATGGTCGGTTTGTTTAGACAAGTAAAATTTTCTTACCTTCAGGCAATAACAACTTGTCTTAGGGTGATAATCAATAGCTAAGACACAAGGTCGAAGCTCACCCTGTTCAATTTTCAACTAAATACTGGGCACAACCCAGTGAATGCATGGATTAGCAACCCTCAACCACTTGAGGCTCATAACCAGATCAAAGGGCAAATGTGGAAACACATAGAAGTTCAGATTGTGTCTGACTTCTCCCTTTGCATCAAAGGTGACTGACACACCCTTGAGGACCTGCTTGACTGTGACAAATTGGGAATTCCCAACCTGTATGCTCAGAGGATGCTCAAGGTCTGTGACCTTGAGTCCCAAATGGAGTTTCTGAACTCCATTTGGGGATATAAAATTCCTTGTAGCACCACAGTCCAGAAGGGCTTTCATTCTGGTTCTGTTGATTAGAGGCTTGATTGAGTAAGATCAGATTTGATTTCACTTTCCTCTTCCCTTTTAACTGGAGATGGAGACTACAGAGCTGATCATATTCTTCCTTCGCCAAGGGCTCATCCAGGAAAGGCTTAGTGTACGTATACAAAGAGTCAGTTCCAGCCTCATCACAATCAGACTCAAAGACTGATTCACCTTCAAAAGAGGGTGAGTGCAGTTCGGCAGGGGTAGCGGCTACCTCTGCTGGCCTGTTCAGTTTTTTGAACTGTTAGTGCCCCAAGTGGGGCAGTCCTTCACAAAGTGCTTCTTAGTACATCTGAGGCAAACTACTTGATCCTTTCTTTTCTGCCATGTCCTCTCAGCAATCTTGAGACTTCTCCAGAGGAAAGTGGCAGGATCCATGGGATTAGCTAGGCAAGTGGCACCCTTTGGAAGATCGGGTACCTGCGGGCCACCTGGGCGTTTGCCTGGACCCTTAGGACTGGAGGGCCTTTGGGGTTAACAAACTGACTTTTGCCTTTCATTAGACTCATTAGAGTCTGACCCAACAACAGGGCAACCTGATCTGGTGTGGCTCCTGCAGCTAGAGCAACTGAGGGAACAAATCCTCCTTAGGCAGAGCCTGCAAAGTCATCATCAGATCCTGCAACATACCATCCTCCCTTTCCCTTTCTCCTGTTCTAGGAAGAGGAGGTGCTTCCCCTATGGGAAGGGGTCTGGAGATGGAGTGTGGCCTCCATATCCAGTGCTGCCCTGCCAAAAGACCTCCAGTCTTTGTGGCCTAAAGTAAACAGGGCCTTGGCATATGTCTCTAGAGCAGCCCTGACAAACCATGTCAACTTATCCTGCTCAGACATTTCCAAACCAGGTGTGGAGCTTAGCTTCTCCCACTCTGCATATAGATTGGAGAGTGATCCACACCACTTACTTTCGCCTAGTTTCACAAGCTCGCCATTTGCTTTGCGGGCCTTTTCCTTAACTTCAAACCTGGTTTCCATACCTTGAAAGATGGCATCCAGACCAATAACAGCAATCCAATCATCCAACTGCTTATGAGCCTTGCTGGCCTCAGAAGTTGTCCACTTTAGTGCGGCCCCTGTCAGGAGGGCCACTGTGGCACGTGCCTTGTCCACCTCTGGACAGGTATAGCCCCTGCGGTAGGACCTCATTTGGGCTATCTGATCCGAGACATCCACTTTGGGGTCTTCCCAGTGAACTTCTCAGGCTGGGTCATCTTGGGAAATCGCAGTTCCTGTTGCACAGTGCTGGAACTCGGTTCCCCTGTGGGCACAGTCCTAGAGACCTGTGCCACCTTCTCTTTTGGAGGAGGCGGTGGAGTCTTGGGAGAGCTAGGACGGGATGATTGTGGTGTGGGTGCCGGAGGAGGGCTATGAGGAGGAGGGACAATAGGCTGAAGAGAGGGTACAGGAGTGGGAGGAAAATGCTTGAAGAACGCTGCTGACAACTTTTCCAGCTTGCTGTCAATAGATGACAGCCGAGACTCAACCGCTGAGATCCGTTCATCCTAGGATGTGAAAACATCCCAGTTGTGAGCGGATTCCAGCACTAGCAATTCTGCAAGCTTTCGCCTGACATCAGCCACGTGGGCGTCAGCAGGGACCTTGGCAATAGTGTCCAGCAGCTCAGATCTTCTGGCTGCTGCTTCTCCTCTCCTAGTTGCCTCTGCCTTCTCCCTCTTTAATCTCTCTACTTCCCGAACTGCATCTGCAACAGCTTTCTCTGCTGCTTTCAGGGCTGCGTCCACGAGCTCTTCCTCAGTCAGGGGGTTCTGATCTTCCCTGCCTGGCTCAAGCTTCGTAGACGTCTCCCCACCTTCAGCAGGTCCCTTAGCCTTGTCCTCAGTGGCCATAATGGTCTTCTCAGATTTTATTTGTCAGAAAACAAATAATAATCATGGCAACCGGCCGGACGTCTGGACCGGAATCCAGACGTCCTAGGCCTGGATTATTTGTCAGAAAACAAATAATCCTGGGTATGGGTCCGGTGTCTGGTCCGGTAGGTCTGGATTGGGTCCAATTTTGAAAATTTTGAATTTTTTTTGGGGGGGGGCTAGGGCGTTTTTTGGGTCCTAGGCCACCCCCAAAAAATGGCCCCGGTATTTTTGGCCATTTCAGGGCCTACCGGACGCCGCCAGACGATTCCAACAGCTCCCTCTGCCGTTGTTCTACACTGGTAGTTCATAGGACGAGGATGGGTTTGATTCCAAAAATGAAGCGCTGGCTGCAAAGCGCCACAGAACATCAAACACGAGAGAGAGAGAGAGAGAGAGAGAGAGAGAGAGAGAGAGAGAGAGAGAGAGATGATTTTGGTCAGATCCGAGATCCCATCGTTGGTCTGTTGAGAACTTGTTTCAACTTTCTAGTGTTGTGTGAGCCTTTGTGAATGTCTCTGACTCTGTGACAGTATGAAGCTGTCAAGTTGTGAATAGTGAAAGACAGTAAGCTGTGTTTAGTACTGTTTACTACAAATGTTTTTTTTTTTTTTTTTTTTTTTTTTTTTTTTTCCTCGGTCCGGACATTTTTTTTGCCCGGTGTACCGGTCCGGACGGTCCGGGTCCGGTCCTGTCCGGTTGTCTGGTGCCTGTCCGGATTACCGGACGTCTGGACCAGTCCAGACAAATGTCTGGGCCTCGGTCCAGACATGTCCGGGTCCGGGTCCGTGGTTGCCATGATAATAATAAAAACAATGATTCTGATCACCATTCACACACAAAACACAAATAAAAAGAATTTAACTATGCTGTTTAGTAAAATATTACTAAGGTTTGGGATTTAGGGCAGGTAGTGGTAAATGTCAGAAAACAGTATGGGAGATTACAGGCTCAGGCCAACGGCCGATACCGTCAACAGAATGGCCACGTCTGAGCCTGCAACCCCATCACAAAAACAATGATGTTTGTGATCAGGCTCATTGCAGAGCCTTCCCAAAGCAGTTAGCATTCTACAGCAAGCGGGAGAAAAACTTTTCAATGCAATCAATAAAAGAAAAAATAAATAAAACCGGAGCGGATTTCAATCACTGCTGTGCAATCTGCAAAACATTTCTAATTCTAATCAAAATAGGAATATCCCCTTCCACTGACGTTCTGACCTCGGATACGGATAGGCAGTAGTCAATACTGACTGACAGATTTCTGACTGCCAACTGACAGGACTGACCGTCAGACCTACAATAAATTTCGGTTGCCACTCACAGAACCAGGTAGGCAATCACAGCAGATCAGGGTCGGTGAGATGCAATTCCATATTTTTCTTTTTTACGAATTAGAACAGATTCAGAGAGGGGTCAGAGGCAACCAGAATGGCGACTGACGACCTATCTGACCGAGACTGCACACAGACTGACTGCTGACAGACACTGACGAATACTGACAGGGTCTGACTTCAGGTCATGCGATTTTCAGAACTCACGCAAGAAAGCAAAACTTGATTGAAGATTTCTGGTTGGTCAACAGTGGTCCAACCACTGTCGCAGAATATCGTAAACGAGTCTGACGTCAATGTCAGACCTTCAGCGAAGATTCCCACCGTCTTCCAATCAACTCGTCAAAGTAACTGCAGCAGCGGCCCAGACGGAAGTCCCGTGCTGTCTGCAGGCATCGTCTGTGACTTGAGGGTCACCCGACACTCAGGTCCACCGGGCCACTTAGGGTTGACGCAGCGGTCAACTCTGCTTTCGCCAGCTGAAACTTCAAGTGAACGTTCCACCACTCCGCATCTCTTTTCTTTTTTTTTCTTTTTTTTTGATAGCGGTAATTCTCCCCTCGCACACTACCTTCCACCACCTCTCACCAACGGCATCCGTTGAAGAAAGCGGACGACACGTCCCTACTCCAACCGCTGCTCAGCAAGGTGGTTGCCACTCAATTGCTTGCCGGTTGCACACGGTAGCAGCTCTGATACCAACTGTTATGTACCCGATTGAACTTCAGTTCACAACGAATTCACACATTCCCATACACGCATGCAATTGCAGAGTAGACTCAAAGGAGGCAAATCCACACAAAACCGGAGAGAAGATATGCACAGCGGAAGCTCGAAATACACAGAGAATTGAAAAACGAATTTCAATTCTGTAATCCCCCGTCCTCCTCCAATCAATCCAAAGTACTTGTTCAAAGAATCACAACCGCGTTTACAACAACCCCAAACAACCCAAAACAAGTGTTCAACGAAGTCTACAGGAGCCTTCTTCTTCCTCCTCGCCACCTCATACCCCTGGCTATGGCTGCCGTAGCAGCAGTAACCCCACAGCTGTCACAACCGGCCAGTCTGAACCAGCAACCCCAATAATAGCAGCGCCAGCTCAGCGCCTGCAAGTCCTGATGAAGAAGGAGACCACCGATCCAGCATTTGAAGCAGACAAAAACGAAGTTCCTCATGAGGAGGAACAGCAGATGTGGCTGCCAAGTGGAGAATGGCAGCGCCCAAACCCAACAACACAGCACTGTGGAAGCTCTCGTGCAGAGCTGCTGAATAACAGCAGTGCGATCTCCAACTCCGTGTCCCAGCCCCAGCTATGGCTGGGCTTCGAGGATAAAGATGCCCTCGCCCAAAATAACACAGCAGCGCTCCGGCAACGAACGGGCAGGGTTTCCCCAGCAAAAACCAGCCCCAGCTATGGCTGGGCTTCGAGGATGAAGATGCCCTCGCCCAAAATAACGCAGCAGCGCTCCGGCAACGAACGGGCAGAGTTTCCCCAGCAAAAACCACGAAAAAAGACCCGAACTAATTTTCCTTCCCGCTACTTCTACCCTCTGCCTAGACCTACGACGGACTCCAAAGGCAACAACCCAAGGCTCATCTGTATCTAGATGGAAATAGGGGAAAAGGGGGCCTAGACCTATGACAAGGCAAAAGGAAAAGGCCAAATGGCCTGGGACTACCAAACAGTGACTACTAGTAACAGACTCAGAGATCAAGCCCCATAGGGCTCAACACTCACAAATAAAAGTCCCGCAAGGCTCAAAACAAACAAACAGCAAGCAAACAGGCAGCACAACAGATGAAGGTTGCGGGATCAAGTCCCGACAACGACGACAGGGACAAAATTAGTATACAGCCTGCTTGTAGCACTGCAATTCACTGCACTATACACTCCTATTCCCGATTGTGTATTCCCACCCATCTCGACCGTCCATCTCTTCTTTCTCCTCCTACTCGTCTCACACCTCCTCCTCCTCGGATTCCTCATCTGGCACCTTGTCCTCCTCCTCCTCGTCTTCCTCCTCATCCTTGTCATCCTCTGACTCCTGGTCGTCCTCCTCCTGCTGACTGCTGTCATCGGTGCGCCACGTCACGCGCCCAACCATTTTACTTTTTTTTTTTCGCCGTTATGTTCTTCTTCTCCTTCCCTCTCCCTCCTCGTCTTCCTCCTCTTCCTCCTGTCCCCTTCGCTCTATCCCCATTTTAATCCTCCTCCTCCTCCTCTGTCTCCTCTACTCCTTCCCGCACCTGGAGAAAACGACATGACTCGAGCTTCTTATGCATCCGCTGCCTGTCACTGGCCCGATCCTGACTCCGCCTTCCACCCTCCTGTTGCTCCTCGTCTCCCCAACCCGACCGCCTTTGCCCGCTGTTGCTGACCGCTGCCACGTCCTGCCCGCTTCCGCCTCCTGCCCGCTCCGCTCCTCCCCTCGATACATCCAAGTCGATCTTGATTGCGATCGGGTACATCCAGAAAAGTCGTGGTGTGGTACATCCAAAAAAGTTGTGGTCTGAGTGCGGGCTTACGTGAAGGAGGAGGTGAGGAACTGGACGAGGTGGTGGAGGGCGACGAGGAGAATGCATAGGAAGAGGATGAGGATGAGCGGGAGATCGATGGCGAGGAGCGGGATGATCATCGTACTTGGAGTGAAAGTTGCCTCGCCACAGAAAAAAAAAGCCAGTGTATGCTCCCGTGTTCTAGCATGACATTCATCAGGCTGTGGACATTCGCCATGGGGATGGTGCAGATAACCCAAAAAAAAAGAAAAAAGAAATCACCGAAATAGACAGAGAAAGGGAGACAGACAGACAGAGAGAGGGAGAGAATGCAACCTATACATACCTTTGTGGGCCATCGTTGATCGTCGATCCCTCTGGCTCGCGTCTCTGTCGCTTTCTCTCTCACTTATCGAAAGCCTCTCTCACACGTTTGGAAATACGCCGATCACGTTTGTCTCTCGTTCCACATTGAGGCTCCTCTTCTCTCTCTCTCTCTCTCTCTCTCTCTCTCTCTCTCTCTCTCTCTCTCTCTCTCTCTCTCTCTCTCTCTCTCTCT